TTGGTGGAGCCTCGAGGTTCGCCCTCACCCACCGCCGTGTGAGGAGACGGGAAATTTGGAGCAAAACCCATCGATTCTGGGCCACCTCGCTTCCCCAGCCTCGCTGCGCATTTAGGGACCCGGCTCCTAGCCCCGCTTGCTGCGCTAAAATAAAACTTAAAAAAAAATATATATATATACGCAAGGGATGAATATTTATCTGTGGGTGGCAAGTGACAGATGCTGGGGCGAGGATCCTAGGATACTTGAGTTTGATGAAGCTAATAACTTGAATAGATTAATGAGAAACATCCTTCCCAACAGTTGCCTCCCCTGGGCCATCGCTACCCAGCCCCCCCAGTTCCTTGTACCCCAAAACACCAAGTTCGTTAAGGTTCAGTGTCCAAAAGGGTGGAGATGCCCAACTTTGGTGTTTTCCAGCTAGAATGGAGATGGGCAACTGGGAAAAGGCCGTGGGCCTCTGGGTCCTTGCAAGAGAGTTGGTTGAAAGTGCAATTTCAGGTGGGTTCAGTCGCTGCCTGACTGAAATGGGGGTAAAATGTTGGGGTGGAGGAGCCCAGCTGGGGCTCCAGGCTCCTGAATGTGCTTGGCCACAGGTACCAACACTCCGCATGTCCCCAGCACGGCCACCCCCTGCTCCTGGGACGCTTTGCAGAGTCCCTGGTGGGGCACGTTTTGCTCCAGACCCTGCCCTTTACTCCCACTGATCCTCCCAAAATTATAAACACAGCTTTTCAGCCCCCAAACACCGAGAAGCCGGGCTGGCCTGACAAGATGGAAGAAAAAAAAACCCCAATTTGCTTCTGGTAGGTTCTCAAAAATGGCAAAACTGCTGGTAAACCACCCCAATTTGGAGATGCACCCCATCTTTCCCAAAAAAGCCGCTGTGGGGAAACGCGTGCCGGGGCAGGGGGCACGTGCGTGCCCAGGGACAGGACCAACCCTGCAACACCCGGCCCTCGGGGACCTGTGGTTTGTGGAGACTTCTGTCACCTCCTCCAAACTGCCCTGGGAAGGGATGGGTGCGGGTGGGGGGCACGCAGAGACCCCCCCACGCCCCTTCCCGAATGCTTTGGAGGTGGGAGAGCGCGGTTGTTTCTCCGGCCGAGCTTTTTAACGCGAGCGCAGGACTGCTGGGATTGCAAACACACGCTCGGCAGATTCCAGCCCAGAGCCCAGCGCTATGCCAGGCAGCTGAAACAAAAGGTTGCAGCTCTGTTTTCCTTCAGGGGAAAGCCACCAGCGCAAAATTCTCATCCAAAAAAAAAACCCATCCATAAATCCTTCCGCCTCTCCCTTCGAGGGCACAAAAAGCAGCTGCAGGTAATGCCTTAATCTTGCCACCCTCTCTAACCACCAAGCAGCAAACTGGGGTTTCTAGAGAAAGGTCTTGCAGCACCTTTCAGGAAGGCTGCGATGGAGCTCAGCAACGCTGCGATTTCCTTAACGTAGCCATCCTGGAAAATCGTAACGCCTTCAAAATAACGAAAACTAAAGGTAAAAACCTGCTTTAGACAGACACGTTCCCCAGCAAAACAGAGGGGAAGCAGCAGCGAATGCCCCCGGCTG